TTCCTGCTGACTAAACCGGCCAGCCTCTCCTTGAGAGATTTGAGCCTTGCGTCAAATTATTCCTTAACTCTCCATATAGTCAGATTTACCCATACATAATTATAATAGCAAAAGAATAATATTTAGCTGATGTGTCTCCAACCTAATCAACATTTATGAAAATTTAGATTTCATTGTTGAATGACCTTTTATGTAACAAGCTTTCTACTAATGTCATTTTGAAATGCCTCAAGAATATAGTTAACAGTTATCATATCAATACGTTTATTTTGTATTGGCTTATAACACTAACAAAGAACCCAATATCAAGAAGAGAAAGAAAGAGGCAGATGAGTTTACCATAAGATGTTCACGCTGAACTTTATTAATAGGTGTGTTGTTAGTGGTGATCTCAATATTTTTGTTGGGTTCAGAAAAGTCTGTGGTTTTATATCCAAAGATTTATGTTTCATGAAGTAGATCAATAATACATTCCGCTGAATAATAATAATACCTTATTTTATTCAGTTCATTTTCAACCCAAAAAAAAGTATTTTAGAATTTCTAAATATTTTACCTCAAGTTGCCTAACAAAAAATCCTTTTAACCTGATTAGTTTTCCTCAAATTCACCAATAAATATAAAATCATCTACATACATAGTTAGAATCACTATATTTATTTTAGGCGAGCACTTGATAAAAAGAATATAATCAGTTGACATTGAGCGTAACCATAGTTTTTAACATATTTAGATAATCTGACAATTTAAGCAAAAAAAAATTATTTGAGACCATGTACAGTTTTCTATGTCTACGTACATTAATGGTATTTTACTAATTTTCCAATCTAGGTGGGCGCTTTATGTATATTTTCTCCTCAAATTTTGTGTGAGGAAAAACAATCTTTTTGAAAGAAAAGCTTATTATATTAATTTTGACAGCATGAGATAAAGTTTCTTGACAGTTGATACAATAAGATTGAGTGTAATATTTTGAAACAAGTTGAGCTTCAAATTTTTAAGCCATGAAATTATAGATTGGATGTTTGGATTGATAAAGTTGGAGTTCAAAAAAAGTTAAGTCCACGAAATTAAACTTCTTTTACCACCACAAAATAATATCTATATATTTTCTTTTATTATTGGAGAATCAAATAAATACAGCCTTGAGGTTCAATTTATTTTGAGGTTGATTTCTAGTATTGGAGTTAGCAGCTTCTTTATGAATAGCTTCTTCATTGCAGCTACCACCATCTTCTTTCCAGGAAGATCCTTCAAATATTTTCTTTCTCCGACTCTTATTAGACAAAGTCTAGCATTTGGTAATAGTGAAGGATAAGTTGGCATCAAGAAAAGATTACAAGTTGAAGAACCCATCAGTTCACTAATAGCATCCTAAAATTAGAATGAGAGGAGAGCACAGTAAGAAAAAAGAAATTTTATAACTAAATATGATTCCCTTTCAATTTATTAACAAAATCAGAATCTGTACAAAAATATGTAAAGAAAACCATCAATAAAAAAACAATGTTTAATTTTAAAATCCAAAATTAAGGAAAGAAAAATTGGGTTCTCATTTTTCATAAATTGTTGAATTGTGATAAATAAAAATTTATCCACAAATTATTAAATTGGTCTAATGCAAAGCTAGAATTTGAATGGAATCTAAGGGCCCAAATGCAGATGGATACGCAATTGTAGTATATGAAATAAAAAGAAAAACTTTGTTAGTGGTAAAACAAAGTCAAGGGGTATAAAAAATGAGAAAGGACCACTCACCAAAGCACTAAGTAGAAGTGAAACATCAAAAGAAAAGTAGGTAAGGCATAAACTATGATGCCACATGAAGGGAGACATGGAAAACAACAATAACAATAAGCCATTATCCCACTAAGTGGGGAGACTTCGGCAAAGACAAAATTACTATGCAAATGGATTCTAACACTGTTAAAATTTGAGATAAGCGTCAAGTAGGTGTGGAAATATAAAGTAAATCTGGTGAGATTAAATTTTGCCCACCCTCTCGCGCATCACCACCACCTTCATCCTTTATCAAATATCATATATAAGTGGTGAAATTAGTTTATATATAATATATCAAAGCCATAAGATTCATGTTTGAAGAAGACATACATAAGCAACATCATAGCACACATTCTCTGAAATTCTGTAACTCCTAAATTATGGTTGTGTATATACCTTAGAGGTTAGCATATACATGTTGAAGCTTTATAGTGCAACACATTTACCATATTTCTATTGGAATGGAATGCGTTCTGTTTCTTTTTAAAGCCAATGTTGTGCTTTACCATCACCTCGACTGAATTGTATCCATTCTTATTTTTTGCAAAATAATGATGAAAAAACTCTACAAAGTTCAAAAAGATGAATTTTAAATTAATACACTTTAGAAAATTTTTTTTATAAGTAATGGATATGGCGAAGATTTTTTAAGTAGTTCCTTATAGCACCGCATGAAGTGGGCAATAGGAACTCTACATCTAAAGGGATCTCCCTTCCACGCCCATAAAGGAGAGTACAATTGTGGTTAGTGTGGGCTTTCCACCTACACCAAGATAAATATAAGTGCTGAATGAAGCACCTGGGGAAAGAATGCCTTTCCATCTATGGCCAAAAAGGCAATATGGATGGCATCATTAAATAGGCTCTACAGGGAATCAAAGAAAACACTGGCAAGCTAATAATCAACAGAAATAAAAATTGATGAATTGAAAAAAAAAATGAAGCTTAATCTTCAAATCTACACGTCAAGGGTCTTCATCTGGCATTGTCTTCATGCGCGTGCTCTCCTCTCTTTCAAATCCTAAGTAAGAGGTTTCCCCTTTAGGATTTTGCATAATGCTGGACTAAAACCTAAATGGGGAGGACTAGAGTGGCTGTTACACGCATTAGGGAAAGGAAATCAAGATGGGATTCAAAATTTTAAGTGTCTTAAAAAAATTAGAGCAAACCAGAATTCACTTAGCTTATATGCATCGGAAGAAACAATGACCTGAATGGTGACCAGTGGATCCACAGATATTCCCAAGATGCAACATTGACCCCATCATAAAATTTTAAATTGAGCCAATTGAACCAGTGTTGCCGCTTGCTTGATGTTACAATTATGTTGGTAACACCGACAGGTAAAGACATTATATTTGTCAGGATTACTTAAAATAGTGTGTGTCATATCAATTTTTCCAGATGATTCTATGCATTCTTTTTATGTACTCATAGACTGCTTTTTGCAAATATGCACGCAATGCACGGAAACTATGCTTTATGCAGATAGCATTTTATGAATTTATATATGCATGTCATAAGAGGATACATAGAAGAAATCATGTTTGCATTCGGGGATGCAAAATATGTTACTGGCTATTAGCAAGGAGAAAGAAAAAGAACATTTTATGGAGAAAATAAAATTCTCTCAGAAAGCTACGCATATCTAAAGAATCATATATCTATTTAAGCTATAAATGGTAAGACAGTTGTGTGGCATTTAAAAAAGTCACAAAAACATGCACCATTACCTTCCATTAATGCATCACAAACTTCTTCTACTTTTACATTCCAGGCCCTCAGAGAAATTGCCAAATTCTGGGATTTCTTTGGATCTAAAATTTGAATGCGGCGGGCAGAAGGATCACTTACCATATCCTTTTTGGCATCATTCCAGCTTTTATCAGCAGCATTGTATCCAAACAATGATTCAATCATCTCCTCATTAAAACTGACCAATATAAATTAAAAAAAAAATCAAGCTCTAGATATTACTAGCTCCATATAAAAAATGAGTTCTAGCGATAAAAAATTTAAAAATAAATTATGTGTCGCCCATTGAGAAACTTACTGAAATGAGCCCGACTTAATCCTATGCCAGACCATTGATTGATCAGGATTTGTCATTACTTTATCCCAGAAAAATGGTTTCAGCTTAGTCTTGGAACCATCACTATCAAAAGTATTTGCCGAAATACGTGATGTGGCAAGGGGAACTGTGGAGGAACTTGAGCTTGCTTGTGGTGGGCGAGGAGGACCAACTTTTGGCAGTGGTGGACCACCTTTTGGGGGTGGAGTGTGTTTTGGTAATGGAGGCCCACCTTTCGGAGGTGGAGGTCCACCTACTGGCGGTGCAGGTGGTGGCATTGGGTTTGTAAGCGAAGGAGGGGGAGCAGGAGGAATGGTAGAAACCATTGAAACAGGAGGACCCTTCATGGTTGGTAGAGGTGGAGGAGCTGGTTCAGTAGCATGATTAGGGGCTTTGGTGGGGTCAACTGTACTGGAAACTATGGAATATGCTGCATCTAACTGAGAGTTACTCAGGCTATCTAAAGGTAAAGCCTGAACATTTCTGTTTGGATCAGCCTTTAAAGGCAAGGAACCATTCTTATCATTGTGGAATGAATTAGCTTGACCAAAAGCCATGTGTGAGGAAACTGAAAAGGAAAAAAATATATATAATTAGCACCATGGCATAAAAATTCAATATCAGCAGGTGGAGCATTTCCATACCAGAAATATCACTTAAGGATAAAAGCGGCCTTTCATCCCTTTGCCCATTATCAAACTGATATTTGTTTCTGAGATATCTATAGAAGCAGCAAAAGCAGAGTGCAGCAAGAGTTAGAGTAACTGTCGCAGTTACAACCACAGCAATAATGATTGTTTTTGTGTTGTTGCTTTTCTGTTCTGATGGTGCAACGGCATGTTTAGGACTTGGATTATTATCTTCTGGAGCAAGATAACCACCAGATATCGGAGCTGGAGATAAATTCTCAGGATCATTTTCTGGTGCAGGAGCTTCACTAGAAGGTTGTAACGTATTACTATTGAGTCCACCAAGGGTGACCAAGTTTGTTTCTGAAACTAGGTTACGGCGAAGTGGTGTCAAAACCGCAGCAGGAAATACGGAGGAAAACAAGTTATTAACTGATTGACCTGCGAGATGCTTTATTGAAAGAGTACTTTGATCAAATAATCTGGCTGGACGCCTGGAATATCTATTTCTTGGAAAAAGTAGAATTTGGTCCATCAAACAATCAATAAGAGGGTATCTTATGTCACTAGGAAGTTTAATAATGGCATTCTGTAAATTTGCCCTTAGAAAAGGCAATTTCTTGAGATCAAATTTAGTAGAATCGCCAGCATTTTGGTCTGCTATATATTCATTCACAACTCCCATAATAGAATTTGTTCCAAACAAATCCAGCTTGCAATTTGACCATATTTGCTCCATCTGCATCCACATGTTTCTTGACAGGTCAAAACATACGAGAGGGAGAAGCTTGTAAATAATTAATTGTTGGCAGAACCGAAAGATAGTTTTAGGACAGCTGTTTATAACATAAACTTCAAAAAAATCACAAATAGCAGGCATATCAACCTTGAACTGTATAATTCAAAAACTAGTGTACCGTTAGAGTGAGTTCTCAGAAACCTTACAGAGAATATAATGAGCCAAACTACAAATATACATATGCTACAAAATTTACTTTTCAGGAGCTTAATGAGTCAAAAAGTGAAGTGCAATGAGCCCCTAACTATTTTCATGAAACTGCTTTAGTCTCAAACTCTATCAAACAACAACAACAAGCTTTTATCCCATTACGTGGGTTAAGAAACGGATTAAAATCTCTACTCACCCCGCATGTGAAAATCACGGAAGACAAAATTCAGCGTGACCACCGAGCTACGCATTCATTACGCAATTAGTCTCAAACCCTATAAAAGCTTTAAATTAATTTCCAGATTCTTTTAGTAGGGGATCAAAATAATCCCTATGAGGACTATTTCAGCCAATATTAAAAGAGTTTGGGGACTAAATTAACACTTCTATAAACTGACACTAAATGACCCTTCCTAGTCTGCAGTCGGAAATCCCTAGTGCAGGCCCTCATTTGTTGGATTCTTCCTGCAAACCTTCCTTAGTAACATCCTTGCCATCGGATCTACCCTACAAGCCGATTCCTTCCTGCTACTGGCACTTCTCCGTCGAATTCTCCCAACAGGCCCTCCATTGTTGAACTTGTTGTCGTTGCACCTTTCTTCCAGTAAGAACAACAGTCGTCGAATCTCTTAGCAGCCGCCAAGCCTCTCTCCTGACACAGTAGCAACATACTAGTCGTACCTTTCCTCCCACGGCAGTTGCGACCAACTTCCTCCATGTGACAAGTTGCAGCCCTAAATACACATAGGATTTTACAACTAAGTACAACATGAAGACGTAGATTGCCACTCCGCAGGTTAATCGTCCCTTGTGTGAACATTGTAAGAAACTTGGTCACACAACGGATATGTGTTGGAAACTACAAGGACAGCCTGCATAATAGAAACTTCAACGAGGGAGAAAAAAACCAAGACAACAATGCCTATGTTGCTACTCTTCTGAATAGTTGGCCGACCCTAGCCCTTTCACCAAGAAACAATTGAAGGTGTTGATGAAACTTCTGTCGAGCACAGCTGACTGTCCTACCAACTTGATGATACACCAAGGTATCATCATGAACTCCTCCTATCTCGCTGACAATGAAAGATTTCAACCTTGTATAATACATTCAGATGCTTTTGATCACATGACTGGAGATATCGATGCTCTCTCCAAATACCAAGAGTTCGTTGACTCCATATTTGTCAAACTTGCCAATGGATCTCACTCCATGATTATCGAGAAAAGAGAAGTGAAAGTCTCAGGAGATATTCAGCTCTCCATTGTGCTATATGTTTCCCAATTAGATTGCAACTTGCTATCAATTAACAAGCTTACTCAAGTCTCGAACTGTGTTACTAAATTTCATTATAACACTTGCAAATTTCAAGTGGTGAATTCAGGAAAAATGATCGACGGTGTTGAATTGCATAAAGGTCTATACATGCTGAAGGAAAATTATTCTCTTAACACACAAATTTCTTCTTCACCATCCTCTTCCCATATTCACGAGTTTGTTATGTCTAATTTGTTGCAAATCAAATTCTATTATGACAGCATCATCTAAAAAATCCCCAAATTTCAGTATGTTGCAAAGTTGTACCATCATCTCTATATTAATAAAAAATTAAAATTTTATTGATGTGAATTCTACTAATTGGTTAAACATACTAATCATGTCTATCATCTGTCTCAGTACAAACCCTCACATCATTTATATATCATTCACAGTGACATTTCAAGACCATCAAAATTAAAAATCATCAATGAAAACAGACGGTCTCCTTTATAGATGACCACATTAAAAACAGTTGGATATTCCTCATAAAGAAAAAACTTGAAACTAAATAAATCTTTCAGTCGTTTCATAATATGATTTCCACTGAGTTTCAATGTAAAATTTAGATTCTCAAAACTGATAATGCAAATGAATACTTCAATTCTATCATTTGACTCTACTTTGCAAAAAACAGTATCATCCATGTGAGTTTGTATGTTGAAAACCATAACAAAATAAGCGGGTAGAGTTCAACACTACTAATAACAAAGTTGATATTGAAATCCATAACAATATCATCCATGCTTCAACTCTACTAACCCTACTCACACAGATCGAGAGTCATCGCAACCTATTTTCCTTCCTTCTGGCCACCCTGTCACCTAAGTTCCACAAGCTGAGAATATCCAACCTAAGATTGACCCAAAATTCATCAAATGTCCTTTTTGGATATGCTTCTAACAAAAAGAGGTACAAGTGTTATTTTCTTATTACAAAAAAAATATATTATATCTCCATGGATATTAACTTCTTTGAAAACCAACCCTACTACCTTAAATATGATATTCAGAGGGACTGTCTAGGTGAATATCAGACTTGAGATACTATTCTGAATACTCACACTGATATAGGGTCATCACAACCTATTCCCCTTCCTTCTAACCATCATGTCTCCCAAGTTCCACCAGTTGAAAACCTCCAACCTGAGATTGATGACAAGGAATTTCATGTGTATGCTAGGAGAAAGAAATTCACTGAGCAGAATAAAAACAATATGCGAAAACAAAATTGTTCACAACCAAACCTGAATTCACAAATCTCCAAAGTTTCAATGGAGGTGGAATTCGGTGGAGAAGATAGAGAAAGTTGCACAAATTATCCTATTATGGATTATGTTGCCTATAAAAAATTATCATCAACTTATAAATTTTTTATATCTAACCTTAATAGTGTACAGATACCCAAATCTGTTGATGAAATACTTCAAAGCTTATAATGAAAAAAAGGCAAATGAAGATGAGATTTAAACACTTGATCTAAATGACACATTAATCTTTACAAAACTTTCTCCATATAAAAAACTTGTTGTGTGAAAATGGGTCTTCAATGTCAAGTACAAAACATATGGGAACATTAAGAGGTTCAAGGCTACGTTGGTAGCCAAATATTTCATTCAGTCTTATGGAATAGAGTATCAAAATATATTTGATCAAGTGGCCAAGTCGAACAATGTAAAAGTTCTTTCATTGGCAGTGAACAAAGAATTTGAATTGCATTAACTTGATGTCAAGAATGAATTTCTGAATGGAGATCTTGAGGAAGAATTGTATATGGAAATCCTACCAAGATTGGAAAATGACTCAAATAAACATCTAGTTTGCAAACTAAGAAAGCCGTTTTATAGCCTCAAACTATCTCCAAAAGTTTGGTTTGATAAGTTTGCCAATACTATGAAATCTAATTGATCCATTTAATGCTAAGCGGATATACACTATTCATAAAGCAAACACATGGAGATAAGAAGGTTATACTTATTGTCTATGTAGATGATATGATCCTGACATGTGATGGTGGAAAAGAGATTGGGAAGATCAAGGAGGTCCTTGCCACTGAATTTAAAATTAAGGATCTATGAGCGATGAGATACTTTCTGGGTACAAGATGGATATTGTGATATCTAAAAAAAAAAGAACATTCTAGACCTACTAAAAGAGAAAAAAATGTTGGGATGCAAACTTGCTGAGACTACTATGAATTTCAACAAAAAGTTCTATGTAAGGGATAAAAGACACCAATGGGAAAAAAATAGATATCAAAAATTGGTAGATAAGCTTATCTATCCGTGACACATTAGACCTAATATGGCTTACTCTGTCGACATTATAAGCCAACATATGAATAGTAAAATAAAGAACATTTGGAGATAGTTTCCAAAATATGAAGATTTCTTAAGAAGCTCCCAAACAGAGGGTTACTGTTTAAAACATCAAACAACAGGGAGGTAAAGGTTTACACTAATGCTAGTTGGGAAGGAGAACTTACAAACAAAAGATCCATATATGGGTATTATTTCTATGTCTGGGAAAATCTTGTCACTTAAAGGAATAAGAATCAAGCAATGGTCTCTAAAAGTAGTGCATAATTTGAGTACCGAGCACATGCTTTAGGAATTTGTGAAGGAATATGGATCCAAAGGTTACTAAGTGAGTTGGAATACTCCACGATCAATCTCATAAATATGTTATGTGATAGTCAAGCCGTCATTAGTATTGCACAGAGTCATATGCATCATGACAGGTCCAAGCAAATTGAGATTGATAGATATTTTATCTATGAAAAATTCAATGGATGCATTATTCACTTAATTTGCATTCTAATTTATCTTCAAGTCACTAATGTTTTCACTGAATTTTTACGTCCAGGCAGCTTCACTGATTGCATACCAAGCTGGACTTTTAAAATATCTATAAGCTAGATTGAGGGAGAGTGTACAATTCTATATCCGATTTTAATGTTATTCTTTTTTTTATACCATATTTCTTTCTTTCTTGAGTTAGATTATCTTTTCTAAATTGTAATAATTATAATTAAGTTTGTCACAGCCGTTCCTTAAAAAATAAGGAGTAAAGTTGTAATTTGATTGAGAAATAAGAGAATAAGATTTCCTCCACCTTTACTCAAAATTAAATGAAAAATATGACACTTAATGGGATGCAATGAAGAAATAGGAGTGGAATAAAGGCTTGTTGTTATTTCTGTTGTTATTGTACCTTTTTTGATTTTCCAGAATGATAAGCTGAATATTTGTGAGATCAGATTTGCATCAATCAAATCTCGCAAATCTCAATATTTCTTTCTGATCCTTTCAGGAAGCACTACAAGGTAAAGATGCATACAATTCATCAATCCATTTATAAAATTCTCGGTTCTCTTTCTTTCCCGCGTCTATTTAAGTGAGCAATGGGCAAAGAAAAAAAAAATCAAATGTACTGTTTAAAAAAATTAAGATAGAAATAATCACACGTTCCCAATCAATCTTTCAATATTCCCTCCATGTCCTAAAACAGTCTTTACGGTGACTCATGTACCCACGATTCCTTCCCAGCCAAATCATGAGTTCGCTCACCATTTCAGATTACTATGGTTGAAACAGCAGATGAGTGTTGGTCCAAAGCAACAATTAGGCCCAGTTATCCGAAAAAATATGATAGTTATGGAAGAAACCCCATTGATAGAAATAGTAGCAACCACATTAATAGGAATAAGGCCTACAAGATGGTATGTGCGCCCCCTCAATTCTCCTTAGCATGAAAAATTTTGCTACAATTAATGGTAAAAATGACATTCTTATTATAAATTTGGACATAATTGTTGAATTTTCTACAATATTCCACTAGTCATCACATGATAGTTCTATCACTTCACAAAATACCTTTGATATATCCAACTTTAGCAGCGGATATGATTTTATCAAAAATTTAGAAATATGTAGACGATTTATTGGAATTAAAGTAACGGATCAGCTATTGACAAGAAATCAAATTTTCAAGCAAATCAATAAAAAATAAGTACATAGAAGCCTTTTACCATGTCTTCATGAGCATCCGACAAAGGCGCCAGATCCAAATCCCGTGATCTTACTAGTAATCCCAGGTTATCTCCCGATTCCCTCGGGAAGGAATAAACAAACAAAGCCGCACAAAAGGCTAAAACAATAATACATCTCGTCCTCATCATTCATCGGCTCTGCTTACCGTCCATATACCTCAACAGTCTAGCTACTATCTCAAGTCTCGATACTGTGAAGCAAGACTGAATGCAAGCAGAAAAGTGTCCTCGACTAAAACGGGAAATGAGGATAAGCGGATGATCTGAATCTCGGATTTTAGTTCGCCGAGAGCCGGAAGTAGAGCTCCGGCGGAATCAAGAGACGGTAAAATCAATGGAATCGCGATCTAGGGTTAGTTCCGTGGAGGAGGCGTCAAATTTTAACTTGAAGCCGCCGATTGCAGGGGCGTTACGGCGGAGGGGAAGCTCCCTGCGTTCAAAGCCGTGTGAGGACCAATCCATGGCGGTCGAGACTATCCCCATCAATATAATTGTCACCCTATGTCTTTCTTGCACCCAAGCTCGGTTTTTTACCTTAATATATATATAATTTATATATCTAATAATAAAATTTAAATTTTACATCTATATCCCTGAAATATTTCATTGCCCATAAAAATGCATTTTTATTAATTTAAAAAAAAAATTTAAAATACACAATTTCATGCACAAATAGAATGGGATAAATATAAATATTTAAATATTTAAATGCATAAAAATTATTGGCATGTATGTAAATCTTCCTTTATCATTGTATAACATTTAATTTTTTGCAATATTACCCTTCAAATATTTTTAATGTTAATGATTTTAAATAAAATTTTTTTCATTGCATATTAGCATATTATATTAATAAAAAAAAATTAAGTATTTAATATGTAAGTTAATAAGAATTATGGTGTATTTATATATAAATAAATAATATCATCATTTCGTATTACAGTGGAAAGAAAAAATTATTAATAATTATAAAATAAATACTTACAATCAGGGCTATCAAAACAGTCTCTCATTCATGAATAGTACATGTTTGGCCGGTTAAGTAGCTCATATTTAAACGAACCGGACATGGACTTTTTTTTTTGCTCCATAGAAGAAAGAGTAGAACAAGGACAAAAATTTGTTTGTTTATGTTTGATTTGTTTTTGCTAGAAAAAATTAAATTATATATATATAATTGATGAGTATTATTCTTAATTAATTTAATTGGCTACAAAGATTTATAATCAATTAATATTATTAATTTAAAAATAGAATAAAATAATATTAAATTATATTTAAGTGAATATTTTAACACAAATAATAAGATTTAAATCTCGCCCCTACCCTTAACTTCCCGCAGTGGCTGCGTGGCTAGGACTGTCAAAATGGCTCGTTGTTCAAGAACAGCTCATGTTCGGCTTGCTAAGCAAATAAGCTGAACACATACAATTTTTTTTTGCGCCCAATGTATAAACGAGTCGAACACAAACAATGCTAATTTTTAACAAGCTGCACACGAGCCGAGCCTTGTCTTTCTCAAACTCGGCTCGTTTACACGCCTAGTTACCATTCAAAATAAATAAAATAATTAATTTTAAAATTGTAATTTATATTTTGAATATTATTTCTTATCATTTTAATAGAATGCATCTTGCATGCAAAAAAAAAATACGTGCTATACACCTTGTCAATATTAACTTATAAGTTAAATGTTATACTTAGCTTGGTCAATTTCTTTTTAATGTAATACTTTTTTTTTTCATTTTTTATTTTTATTTTTTTAATGAGCTAAGCTAATAAAATAAACTATGTTTTTATCATTTTATTTCATCACCAAACATTCATTAATCCTCATATAAAATTACATTACTGCTGACCAACCTTTCACCTATCCCCTCAATTAAATAATTAAAAATATTTTTAAGGATTTTAGATGTATGAGCTGAGTGATTTCATGTCCCTAACATCAGAAAAACTTATGTCCAATAAATAGGTCATGTGATCGACGGTGTAGATCTCATTATATAATTTGATATATGGCGTGATGGGATTCATATCGTCGTTCGCATCGACAGCGGAGCGAATATTTAGCCATTGCCTGCTGGCCGTCAGATCGATTTTGGACGGTTGCAATTTCATTCATCAAAAATCATAACACCCAATTCTTATTTTTACATATAAAACATCTAAATTTTAATTTTTTACATTTATACCATCTAATATTGCCGTATCACATTAACAATAGTTCCCAAATACAGCTGAACATCATTAGATAAGGGCATTAAACATTCACAATATATATTTATGTATTCACAAATTTAATACCTCAATGTATATTAATCGAACATAACGAGCCAAAAGCAGATTTTGCTATAAACTCAATCCATTCAAGCCAACTACGATCTGACCTTATTTCTGCTCAAAATCAGCTCAAGAATTCTTTTCTTACATTTAACACCTGTCCTAAGCTTCTTATAACATCAACAAACCAACAATCAAAGCCTCGTAACCATTCCAAACCCTTTTGCACATCTCTTGGCCAAGTAATGGCATATCAAGACCTAGTCTTGTTCCCTAACCCTAAGCACCATTGTAAACCCATCCAAACCCATTCATATACTCCGGATCATAAGCACACATCCCAAGTAGACCCCCAATAATAATTTCTAGCCATTTAATCATTATTAAACAATATTTTCAAAGAGATGTTTAAATAATTTCTAATTTGTAGCTAGCCCTGTTGCATGCACATGCTTGCTAATTGCTTGTCTATGTGCATGACATCACTTTCAGTAGTGGTGATAGTCTGTTCAAAACGTTTCCAGCATCCTCCGGGTCTTCGAGACCATTTTCTGGCATTCTCAACTCAAACTTGACGCTTTCAAATGAATATTAAAGAGACTTGCTTGGGCTGTGAACTTCGAAGAAGAACTGCGCTGATGCCCAAGAAATGTCTGCATCTTACAATCCATTCACGATCACTATTTTATGAAAGTTGAGAAAAATTTCAATGTCTTTGTCGTTGTTTTCTGAAAATAGGAAGCAATTGATATATCCTTATAAAATTATCTCTGCCATGCACGCACATTGATAACATTTGAACTAAAAGCTTCAAAACTCAAATCAGGAATTGCCTGCATTCTAATTCAGATTATGTGAGTTTGTAAGAGAAACCAAGTGGCATAGTAAATGAAACGACCTAAGTCCAAGTAAGGTCAGATCATGTACTGAAAGCAAAATAGAAAGGCTTAAGATATAAATTTTGGGGACCAAATGATCTTAAAATCCAAAAATTCTATCATCAAATTGTGTACCTTTATGGGACAAATCTAACGAGCTTTAGATTGTTTAAATTTGACATCACAAAAGCACCCAACTGCCCATTAAAACATCATCCGATCAAGGGATACATTTTGAGTCGTTCGATGGACTGGTTCGAATTCATATGATATTTATGGAGACTGCCACTCATCAAATCTATAAATAGATCATCATCTTTTCATAAACATAGGCCATGAACAAGAAAGCAAAGGCCAAAGGAGCTCCAGGCTCTTGCGGGTTCTCAAGCTCTACAACCATCGGACCATCTTCATCGGTTCGCCACCATCGCCAGAACACTGTTGCCCAACCCCCACATTCACAATCATTGATCATCAATATCTGGTCGAAAAAGCCAGACGATGGATGCCCGACCGCCTCCAACGTTGACACCACACCATTGTCGTCGGGCCACTACCATCTCTAGACAACTGTTATTCTTGTCACTATTATCATCACAGTCATCACCATTGCAGCTTCAACACTGCCCAACCATAATCGTCATTAGAACCATTAAGTCGTTGCCACCACCAGAGCACCATTGCCTTCGTCGTTGCCATCAAGCCAAAGCCATCAGGTCGTTGTTGCCACTAATTCCCCCATGTGGCCACCACTATCGCCATTACTGTCGTTTCTACCAAATCACTATCAGTGGGCCGCCGTCACAACCATACCACAGCTGCCTTGCCACCACCATCATTTTCTTCAAAAAATCGACGTCAAATTGCCGCCATCACCGATCCACAATTGCCCAATCACCACTATTGTCAATGCTAGACCACTAGTCATCTCCAGCGCAAGAGCATCATTGCCCCACCACAAATGTCGTCGTCACTGGTATACCATTGTTGCCATCGGTCTACCGTCATCTGGTCATTGCCACTATGAGGCCACCGTTCTCCAGCCACCACCATTGACATCTTCAAACCACTGCCTCCAAGCGACCTGAGATCATATTTTTTAGTACACGACCTCTACTATTCGTCTTCTTTCATCGCAACCAGTTTGTCACCATTTCCTCAATGTATTCTGCTACTCTCCTAGCGGAAGTTATGTCGAGACCCCCCACTTGAGTAATATCATTTCCGACTATTCAGGAGCCAATCAAGTCTTGTACCCTGCATCGACATAGTAAAATCATTTTAACTGGGCTAGATCTCGACTTACGTTATCTCTTTTTAATTTTTTTAACCATATCTGTGTGTGAGAACTTTATATCACAGTAGAATATTAATATATCATTCTACCACCTCGAATTTACAAACATGGAACATACTCATTCTTACAAGTGTCCACTCAATAAGCCACAGCATCAATTGCTAAACAATTATTATATCTTCTATTTAATGTGGGTCAGGTCTGGGTTTTTTGACAAATTTAATTAAACTTTGACTTATATGATAAACTAATCTAAATTTAAGTCTTAGAGATTTGAGCCTTCTGATTCATACAACCATAGAAAGTCTTGGGCTGCAAAATGGAAGTGTTGACTATATAATGTCCACTAAAAGTTATCTTTTTTTAACAAGTAGTTACAAATAGTTACAAAATGGGATTAAAAAAAATGTTACACGTATGAGCAAATAGCTTCATTAATCAAAAGGACACCTAATTGCCTCTAACATATTTTATCATGCGAGATGCACGTTATTAATACGATCAGATCATTGTTGTTATTCAGACGTAACAATTTTTTCTTAGGAGAGAAGATAAAAAACTAAAATTAATTGTGCATCCCCAGATTCCCCACATCTTCCTATGATAAATGCATTCATGACATTTCCTCCAAAGTCTATGATTATAATTATTTGTTTATTCTTAGATAAATACAAAACACAATTATAAATTAAAATACAGGAAATGAGCATCTCAAAATAATTCCAATTGAGAATATTCTCAACAAATTTACACATAAAATAATATTCATTTGCATGCTTTCACGTTGAGGATAACATTTTTTTAATATTTATCCCTCACAAATCTTTCCTATCACATCAAAAGTTTAATCATTATATATATATATAT